TCGCCTCCCCCCTTGGGCCCAGCTCAAAGGTTTGGGAGCATCTCCTTCCCCATCTCCAAGGAGACTCCTTCCTCCCACACCCCCTGGGCCCCGAGTCCCTCCATTCCCGTCCTCTCATCTGCCCTTTCTCCCAGTGCCTGTGATTCTCTTCCACCCGACATATTCTTTGGGATATTGGAGGGGGGTTGGATATCCAAAATAGTTGACTATCCAAACCCAAGACAAAAAATCCTTTCTCGCTTTCTCGTCACTGCTGGCATCTACATGGCTTTGGCAGGAAAACCCAAAGCATCCACCGAAACGTGGCGTGAAGGACGGCGGGTGTGGGGGGAGGTGCCCAACCCTTAATCAGAACCTCGCTGGAGGTTGCTCCTTGAGCCAGACGGACTCATGCACCAGCCCAGGACAAGCTTCCAGTTAAAACTTAAAAGAAGAGACATTTTCATACTTTCCTGTTTAAAAACCATCTCGGAGGTAGATGGCATAAAAAAATGCCCGTCTGAGACAGAGGAGCTGCTCATTGGTATAAAAGCCCTGGGTTTTAATAAAGCCGTAACTCAGCCTGCGAGGCCACTGACTTTATTCCTGATGTGATAGAAACCTGTCCAAGCATAATCAGGCAGGAATTGTTCTGTAATTACAGGCTGCAATTACGGGCTGATTTCTTCGCAATTCCCCTTAATGACATAGAAAAAAACAAATGCACAAATACCTGTTCCATGAATCACCAGAAGACAAAATAATGACCTGATAGGTCCAGAATGGATTTGCTGTCTCAAACCGAGAATTTGCTACAGAAAATATTCCTCCAGGATATTAAATACACAAGAAAAATGGTTCCATCCAGAGAGTGAATAAAACAACCAACCTGCCTCTAAATCTCCCAGATTCCAATAACTAAATATATTGGCTGATGGTGGAACATCTGTGGATGAATTTTCTTTATTAAAAGTGTGGCCTGGAATCAAAACCCGGCAGTTCTTCAGAATACTCAGAGACCAGAGCATGAAGCACGCAGTTTGTCTGTAGCCGGGCCTGGAATTTTTCTAATTTCCACAGGGTTCCTTTTTCTGCAGGTAGCCTGTGACTGGTGACCCCAGCAGGTGCCCCTAGAATTCTCCTCTGGCTCCTATAGTTCACAGGATGCTCATGGAGGATTTATGGAAGGCACGTGGGGCAGAGGGTTTGCCCCCTGTCCCAGCTCTACAATGAGGTGGAAGGAGGCAGCCGCTGGGTGGGACAGTCCAGTCTGTCTCTGGGGCTCTCGGGCAGCGCAGGGTGGACAACCAGGCACCAGGCTCCGTCCTTGCGATGGATCCAGAAATGAAAGGCACAGTTATTTCAAATAGCTGAACATGCTAGAATAGCCCGCAGTCAGCAGGACAGGTGACACTGGAGGATGTCCTGAGGATAAGTGGTGGTGTTGTCTCAGCCTGAGGGACTCTTGAGGCTGGAAAAGCTGAGGGTTCACAGTCTGTGAAGTCCCGGAGTATGAAAACGGTGTGTTTTTATTGGACATTTCACTTCATTCTGCTCGAAGGTAACAAGTGGCAGCTCAGGCACACGTGACACCTAGAAGCAGCTGCTACCAACCACTGCCCATGTGCCCCTCTGACCTCACACCCCTGCAGAGGAGGTGCCAGGCCCCGTCCTACGCATGGACAGACGGAGGCTCTCCGGGCAGCCTGGCTTCTGACCCACGAAAGAGCATCCACAAGATGGGCATGGGCCAAAGGGAGAAGGATCTAAAACATCTCTGGGTCACTGGAGAAGGTCAAAGGATGCTCAGGAGTGAGCTGAGCCCGAGATTTTGGACAACAAACAGTGCTCACCAGGAAATGAACCCCCCGAGGGCAGCTTCCAGCATCTGGGACGGGGATGGGGAGGCAGAGGGACTTGGGGATCCTCGTCCAGCCACTTGTCAAGGCCTGGCTGGTGGGTGTGACCTCTGTCTACACTCTCTAGGCTGTAGGAGGGGTGGAGACACCGCTGCTTGGTGCAGAAGGGGCTGGGACGCCGTCGTCTAGGGCAGGGGGAGGACTAAATGGGCCATTCTGGGCAGCGTTTCCCGTGAACTTTCC